ATGGTCCAGCTAATGATCGTAATCGACAACCATCATTACGAACATTTTTATTAGATGGAGATTTTTTTATTGGTGCTGCTTTATCAACATCATTATGTAAATTAGTTATACGTTATATGGATTTAGAAAATGATTCAACTAAACAAAATCGTTTTTGTGCTGAAGCTATGTTTATAATAGCAAGTATATTACATTTAGGACGAACAAGTTTACCATCAAAAGCAATGAATGAAGATGATTATGATCGTATGATAATGTGTATAAGATTATTAAATGAACGATTACCAATAACATTTCAAGTATTTGGACATGATTGTCGAACAGCACTTGCAGATATGTTAACAATTAAAGCTCAAGAACAAAAAGAAATCGAAAAGAAAATGTCAAAAGAAAAAGTAAGTTGAACTTTTTTTGTTTTTTTGTTTCTTAAAACTAAAACTAAAAATTGTTATTAAAGACAACAACAGTTGAACCAGATGATCCAATACGTTTTACTCAATTATTAGCATCAAATGAATTTGATGAAAAAGAAGATATACTTGATTTAACACTTAGACAAGCTATTGGTACAATTGGAAAGAAAGATGAAAATATATTTAGTTCATCAAAACTTAGTAAAGTTACACAATTAACAGGTTTTAGTGATCCAGTTTATGCTGAAGCTTATGTTAATGTTAATCAATATGATATTGTTCTTGATGTACTTATTGGTAAGTCTTTTTAAATTTCAAAAAAGAATTATTTTTCAAAGAATAAGATAATATAATCATGATGATTGAGAGAAAATCTTCACAATAAGAAAGATTTTCAAATAATTGAGCGCAAAAACTCTGCATCAAGTTAGCCATATGTCCGAAGGAACAGTTAGTCATAGCTGTAGAAAAGATATCGAGATATTGAATCTGTCAGCACGTCGTACCACAAAGTAGCTCATATGTAGAGGTATTTTTCATCTTACTTTATTACAGTAAGCCGATTCCAAAATCGTTTAGTAACAAAAGAGAATTTCTTTGCAGACAAGAAAACGATTTTGACGTGAATTTTGTCTTCTTAAATGATGAACATTTTAGTGAGCTTTGTGGAATTCATATATATATATTCGAAGAAAGTAATGAGTGTACATTTAAATCGAGATTTTCGCGCCTCCCCTTCTCTAGACCTTAGCAACTGGGGGTACGTTTACCCTAGTAATCGAGGACGACCCGCATCAGATTTCCTTTCTATAGTTCTTTAGCAAGAGAAAACAGATACTAAACAGAATTAATAACAATACTTAGGTTATTCTAGAACATTTTAAAGCCTTTCTTGAAATTTAGATGCTTCAAATAGTAGAGTTTTTGATTTTTGCACAGATCAAAAATTATATTCAAGATGTCAAGGATGATAGATAGTGTTATATTGATTTTCTATAGTCATTATATGATTAACATAGAAAGCTTAAACTGAACAAGTCTAAATTTTGAGAATAATTATTATTAATATTTCTAAGTATATCAAGATGTACAATAAAACGTCGAAATACACAAGACAGATCGTTTCTCTGACCATTGACTATCCTTCGAAAACAGCTGTAGAGGGATAGAATCGGTCTGAATTTGGCATGACCAGTACCAGTTACATATTTGCAATTATATTTTACAAGAGATTTTTCATTCTCCATATTTTGTATTTTTGTAATGAGGGTAAAGAACGTAATTTCAAGAGGGCTTATCTAATAAAATAAAACTCAACTTGAAAATAATTTATCCTTTGACGAGTTTTCATGATAAGTCGAAGTAAGGAATAAAGTTAGAAATTAGTTTTTACTCGAAAAGAAACAAGATTAGATAACAATGAAAAATTAGTCTTAATTAAAATTTATCGAATATTCTTCTATACAAATTGACCTAATAAGAATTTTTTTGTTTACTTTTCTAGTTAATCAAACATCAGATACATTACAAAATCTCACAGTTGAATTAGCTACACTTGGTGATCTAAAATTAGTTGAAAAACCACAATCAATAACAATGGCACCACATGATTTTACAAATATAAAAGCAAATATAAAAGTAACATCAACAGAAAATGGTATTATCTTTGGAAATATTGTTTATGATATAACGGGTTCTCAATCAGATCGTAATTGTGTTGTATTAAATGATATACATATTGATATAATGGATTATATTGTGTCAAGTACATGTACAGATAATGAATTTCGTCAAATGTGGATTGAATTTGAATGGGAAAATAAAATTGTTGTTAATACAACAATACGTGATCTTCATCTTTATCTAAGTTATTTATTAAAATCAACAAATATGCGTTGTTTAACACCAGAAAAAGCTTTATTGGGTGATTGTGGATTTATGGCAGCAAATCTATATGCTAAATCAATATTTGGTGAAGATGTTTTAGCCAATGTTAGTATTGAAAAATCAGCGATACATGCTGATGCACCTGTTACTGGACATATTCGTATTCGAGCGAAAAGTCAAGGCATGGCTTTATCTATGTAAGTTTTTAGTTGCATTTTTTTTTTGTTTTGGTAGAATAATACTTTCAAAAAAAATTATTTTCAGGGGTGACAAGATCAATATGACACAAAAAACTGGTTTTAAAGGTGTTTCATTAATACAAAAATAAAATATATTTGTTTTTAGTCTTATTTGGAATTTGTCTTGTTCATTTTGTTTTTTTAAAATATTTATCTAATGTTAAACCAACTTAAGTTTTATGTAAGAAAAAAACAAATATTACGGAATAGATTTTTTAAAAACAACAAAAAATAAAATAAAACACATCTCTAGAAATATTGTTATATTAATTTACTATTAGAAAAACAAAACAAATGAATGAATTTCAATTGTTGAAAAATCTTTATGATAAAAGAACTAAATTATCTCAACTTTGCTTGAAGCTGTGGGCTGATATTTTATCAATTATAGAAGAAATGTTCATCACAAGGGGAGAAAAGCAGCACAACCTCAGTATTTCGAAGTACGACTATAGTACAATCAAGAAGGGAAAAGTGAAAATTACGTACTTTAAAGTACTGATCTTGCGGTTTTTTTTCTTTGCAGACTAAGTTAATGAAAAATGGTTAAGAATGATTTCCATTAGCATCAGTGCACTGTTACAATATTTCAGGATGTAGGTATATATTTAGAGAAATCAATGGTCACTATTAGAATAATGAAAAAATCGTTTGAGAATGGCAAAGTATAACTAAAAATGAGAAAATATGTGTCAAAGAAAAGTAAAGAAGAACTGTAAATCTCGATGAACTATTTGTTTTAATTATCGTAATATTATTTAACACATTAGTTTTTCTTTTATGCTTTCTAATTTACCATGAAATTCAGATATTCTGATTTTAATCATTTGTTACATATAAAATTTATTCTGACGCTATAATGTAAATCAAACCTTGTAGATTTACTAGATGACCATATTCCAGTAATCACTCTCATATTAAATGATTCTTCTTCGTTAGAAAATGGTAACTTTGAAGAGACATAAGCCCATGAATTTGAATTTTTTAACAGATGAAAGTTTAATTATTTTTTATATACTAAAAAACTCCGAACTATCAATGCTAATTATTTTCGTCTATTATTGAAGTCGAAAAATTATTAATAGTAGGTCAAATAAAATAAAATAATAATTTTAATATTCAACATTTTTCCTTTCTTTGATAATAATCATTATAAATGGTAGTACTCATTTAAAACAAAAGTACATAATTCAAATGTAAATCATCTTCAATATTTCTGTATTAAAAGCAATCAAAAACAGAGGTAAAGTGGAGAGTAAAAGTTTAACACATTTTATTTTTTAAATATTCTCTTAACAATAATATTTAGGGTGAATCGAAAAAAAAGTTTATGTAACTGAAAAACTTTTGTAGTAGAATTACTATTTTTTCGGTGTTCTTTGAAACTTTTGAGGAGATGCTCCTCTGTAAAACCAAAACCTTTGGAAAAATCAGTTTTTTTTATCTCGTTTGGAAATATTTTACAAATAAGCTCTTCTCTGGTTTACAGAGATCTCAATTTTAGAGAAGGGGTATTTCTTCAAAAGTTTTTAAATCGATAAAATACTTTTCATGATCGGAAATCATTTTAATTTCTCATATTTTCTTTTCGATTCAACTTTTGCTATTGCCGTTAGGGAAATATGCCAAAAATAAAACTTCGCTAAAGTTGTTTTTGTGTTTACATCATATTTACAAAATTTAAATCTTAATTTTAATTTTAAATTTTTTTCATATTCTGAGTATTTAAATATCATTTTAAAGATTTTAATGTTCATAAAAGAGAATATTTCTATGTAAAATTTCAAAAATATATTGTTTTTAAAATATTATCTCAACAATATCTAATGAATATCATAATAGAATCTTGGTTGAATTACATTTTCTTTTTCACATTTTCTTCTTTCTTACTTGTTTTAATGCCATATAATTGAAATTAAGAAAATATTTTCTTTTTTTTTTCTTTTTTTCACTCGTTACCAACAGCACACACATAAATCGAATCAATTGGCAATAGAAAAAAACAAGACGGAAAACTCGTTTCTTCTACTTCAGCACTTTCTTTTGCTTAAGTGTGAAAAAAAAAGAAGAAAGAAAACGCACATACACAATTTGTCATCTATTTTATTATTCATTTCCGTTCGGTCTTGGGACGTGCACACATACACACGTCATCAACAAGGGACATTGAACACCTACTAACTATTATTTCTGCATATTCCTCATTATTAGTTAGTCTTTTTTTTTTGCTTCTTTTTCTCTATTCAATTTATCTTATAACTATTAAAGTGAAATTATATTAGCGAAAAAAAAAATGTCGTTCTTAGTAAGTTATTTATTTAATTAGAGAAGAAATCTTGAATTTTTTCCGTCTATCTAGTCTTTTATCGTTATCGGAAATCTATTATGCGTTTTATTTAACATAAGTGAAGCAATCATTTGTCCATCATCATATAGTTTAATATTCAATGGATGTTATAAAATGCATAATGGTACAAATTTGGCATGGTTCGATGCTCGAGAATATTGTATCAATGAGACATATACATTAGGAACTAATAAAACAGGTTCTATTACTCATTTGGTTGCATTAGAATCGGCGACTGAAATAAAATCATTACTTTTTTGGATGAAAGGTTATTATTAATTTAATGAACAAATATTTTTCCTCTATGAAATTTTATTTGTTTTGTTTTGTTAATGTTAGCTTGGGGTATACAAAGTCAATTTTGGATTGATGGTGTTATTTCATCATCGACATGGAATTGGTCTAATCAACCAATAACATGGTATTTTAATGCAAGTGATGAAATAAATAATCATAATGGATCATATTATCAAATTGTCTATAATACAGCTCAAAATACTTATATCATAATTGATGAAATCAATAATAAATTGTCATCTTTCATTTGTGAATATCAAGGTAAGCGTTTTACTATTTTGAAATTTTAATTTCTTGAAATTAATTCTAGAACAATGTGAAACAAATAATTCATGTCAAAATAATGCCACATGTTATTTAAATGTTGGTCGAGAACTTTGTATTTGTGCAGCAGGATTTACTGGAACATTGTGTGAACAGCAAATTGATGAATGTTTATCATCACCATGCCAGCATGGAGGAGAATGTACTGATGGTCTTAATAATTATACTTGCGATTGTTCAGATATATTTTTTCATGGACCAAATTGTGAAATACGTATATTTTAAAATTTAAAATAGAAAAAAAACTAATACGATTTCTCTTTTCTAGCTGATCCTGATCCAACAGAAAGTCAACGTTCAGCTGCATTTTGGAGTGTTTTTGGTGTTGTATGTGGTTTAGTAGTGTTATTAACATTATCAGATTTACCATGGGATGAAATAGCTGCTGCTATTGGATGTCCATGGTATCGCTTTCAATGTTGTTTAAATCATGATGATGATAATGAGGGTGATATTGATATGAACAGTATTCGTTCACCTGATTCAACTGCAAACGAAAATAATTTCACAACAAAACAAATCATAATGCCTGGTACAACAGCCAAAGGAATCAATTATCATATTATGAATACAGTATGGAATCCAGAACAACTACGTATTGAAATTCCATTAAATCCTCAAATTAATGAATATCGTTCATTAGATCAAAGTAAAACACCTGATAATGCACTTATTCGATCGTTTGCTTCTGTTTTTATGGCAAAACAAAAACAAAAAGAATTAGAACAAAAACGTGTTTATGCTGTTGATATAACTGAGCAAAATAATTCAACATTAAAAACAAAAGATCCAGTTATGACAATGATTAATTGGACACAACAATTACAAGAAAAATTAAAACCTAGACAATCTCAACCAACAAGTGCAAGTTCGACAAGAGAATTAATATAGATGAAAAATACAAATGAGAATTAAAACTTTATTTTCTTAATACTGTACGCAATAAATGATTGTTTGATGAATGTTTCAAAATGTATTTTATATTTAAATATAAATAAATAAATAATTATATTGATGTTGTTTTTATTGAATTTATTTCTTAAATAAATCGATATATTCTGCTTCAATTCAAACTTTCTTCAATAATATAATTTGTTTATTTTGGTAAACAAGTAGCTCAACATTTTCAATTAAAATAACTCATGAGGTATAGAAAATGTTACAACGCTAAATGTATTTTTCCTTATTTTCACGTTTGTCAATAAAAGTGTGAGTTAGTTTGCAGATCGATGAATAAGAATGTTCAAAATTCATTTTTATCGTATTTCTACTTCGTAAGCAACCATTGGCTGATAAAGAATTACCCTTTCAGCGTATTGTCAATGTCTCTTTCACGAGGGAATATACCAAACTGTCAGATGCTGTTCGAACTCATATTTTATCTAGGAGTAAAACTCAGTGAAATTTTCAAGCCCATTGTATACCTGGACGAGACCTGGTTGTCACATAGGTGCAAGAAAATGAGATTTTTTTAATTTTTTCTCAATGTTTTTTTCTGTATTTCAATAAGTTGTGATCTGCAATTGTTAACAGAATTTTCATTTAATACGTGAGACAGAGATATATTCGTTCAAGAAAGTCCGATCAATCTCAAGATAACTTTCATGGAAGTCTTGATGTTATACCTTATTACATGAAGGAAAAAATAATTAAAGAATATATATTTCTCTTTACTTCAGAAATCACATGAGTATCAAGCGTAGTGTGTGTACCGTACTAACTAACATAGCTGTTTTCTTATATTCTATTTCAAAAATGACTATGATCATCTTAATTGTATATCTCCTAGATAGTTGAAGCTTTATTGACACTAGTTTTCTGTTTGTCCAATATTCTAAAGCAATAGAGTTCATCGAACATCATCTTTGCATAACAATGCACAATCTTAAATCATGTTCATTAAATATAATGAAGATCGATATTATGCTTGACTATAGAGATATAATCGATGCTACATTGAAGAATAGTGACATAGGCGAAGAAGTTAATCAATTAGTTTATGTTTTTTGTTGTTGTCACTTTATATAAGAAAACAAACTGAAAATGTTTACATTAACTATTGCATTACATGGTAAACCAAATGAACTTTATCTCAAGATTTATCAGACAAAAATCGATCTGAAAATGTAAATTTATTGGAATTAAAAAAAAGAGTCCTTTTAGAATTTTCTTAGTCTCATTGAGTCCTACTCGTAATCAAAATATGGGCTCGAACAGTGTTCGACAGTTGGATATGATCCCTCATCAGTGTTCAAAGCTCTGATTTGAACGTTCTTGTTTTTTCTTCAGAAGACAGTCTAAATAATTCTTTGCAAAGTACGATCAAAACAGTTCACCTAAAGAATCATTGAAAACCCATGTCTGGATAGCATGCACTATACTCCTCACAAATACACTTTAAAAATACTGTTTTGACTTTTACAAATTTTATACCACTATTCTATCACATATAAGAAAAACTGAATTCATCATTTTGTGGCCCTGTTAAAAACTCTATCAATTGAAGGAACACTTTTTTTCAGAACTAGGATGAGTAGGTTTAATAACATCCAAGCAGCTTCATTATCATTCTTCTACTATGTGAAATGCGTTTATATCTACGAAGATTATTTTATTTATCTCATCAAAGACTACAAAATATCGCTGGACACTTTTCTGACATGAACTCTATTCAATTAAAACGTGTATTTTTAAAGTACAGCAAGTACTTGAAATGCCTATGATTTTGTACAGCGTAAGACGACAAGTAAAATGACTTAATTGAGCTTCTGTTTCATACAAGTTGTAAAGGTGTTATTAAGAGAACATGACAAAACCAATTCTATCTCTACTTTTTTCTAACATACCGTAAATTTGTTCGAGTAAAACATTTTGTTTGTCTGACCTTACTCGTGTTTAAAAGATCTTCGATAGAGTTTTATCAAAATTTTGATTTTCTTAAGCAAAATATAATAAACCCGAATTCTGATCTACTGCTAAATTGAAGGGAAGTATTCTTCTATGATTAAAATCAGTGCTAACTAGTCCACATGAAACCAGCTTAATCACATGAAGTGAAGTAATTAGTTTTTAAAAAAGAGTAGTGCGCGTTTAAAAGAAAACCATTTTTGAAGTAAATTATTACTCATAAGATATGGCTTACTAGTTATCCTTTTGAAAGTATTCATTTAATTGGGTTTTGTAGAAAATTGCAAAAGCTATCGTTTTGAGGAAATATTACAGTCAAAGCTACACAAGCTGTAAGAGATATTCAGAAAATGCTGAAAGGGTCGTTTTTTATGAGTCACCCGTTATTTCAGTCGAGAAAGAAAAAGAAACGGGCGCAGAGAACCTATCAATAATAAATCAGACAAATACATTTCCCAACTTTGAGTGTTCGAAATAAAAAAACACTAAAAGTTTAATTATCTATTTTTGTGCTACAGCAGAGATCTAGATGAATTACTTATATTTCTATTTGTGGAACATAGCTAATAAAAGTATTTTTAAACTATTATGAGAGATTAAATGCAATGAATAAAATAAACGTCCAGAATACTTTACTCTGTAACTTACAGGCATCACAAGAGTTTGCGGACTAATGTTTCTCAGACATTAAACTTCTGATTGTAATTTAAGTATTCGTAACAGATGCTAGACAATGTTAGTATTATCAATTATAATTAATTTCTTTTCATTTAATTTTGTTTGCATAACTAGACTAAAAACGTGACCATTCAACATCACTAAAACGGATGTTATTTTCTATATTTATAACAATATAATTATCGAGAAAAACACAAACTAACGTGAAGATTTTGAAAGAAAAAAGACGATGCAGAAATGCATAGCATCTTATGCTTTGTTCAATACGAATAATTATATTTATTAATGAAAATGTTCGTGTGTTATTTCTTTTGATAAAACAAAATCTAATGAAAATATTGAAATTACACTATTGTTTTAATAAATATCAACTTCAACTGGATAATGATCACTAATTTGTAAAGCTAATTGTTTAGTTAATTTAAATTTTTTATCAAATTGAAATGTTCCATTAGTCTTTGGTTTCCAATTGATTTTTTTCCATTGATTGATACCTGATGAAACTATTATTCTATCATATGAACATGATTCAAGTAAATTTGTTTCAGTTCGATCATCAATTAACCATTGAAATTCATTGAAATATGTATTTCTCATTTCTTTCTTTTTTGCATTATTCAAATATGAACAGTCAGCATTAAAATCACCTAATAATATTATTGAAGATGTTTCTTTCAATTGCTCAATAACAGTACGTAAATGACGAAATTCTTCGTAAACACTATCAGGTTTAAGATGAGCACCAATAAATATTATTTTTCCAAATGATGATAATTCTATATGAAGAATAAATGGTTGACGTTCAAACATTCGACTAACTGATCCATTATAAACATAAGATGAAAGAATTTTAATTTTTGAAGATTTTTTATTATATAAATAAACTAAACGTTCTTTGTATGATGTTGAACCAAGTGGTGGTGATATAATAGCTTCATATTTTTTTAATTTTGATTTTTTATGAATATGATTTAAAAGAATATTAACAACTTGATTATTATCTGATGTATCAATTATTTCTTGAAGAAAAATAAGATCATATCGTTGAAGAATTTTTGATATATGTGTATTAATTGAATTTGTTGATGTAGCTTTAGCTAAAGAATATCGACGTAAATTAAATGAACCAATTTTAATCGTTGATAATCGAGATTTAAGTAAAAAATTATTAGTATTATAAAATAGACAAATTAAAATGAACAACGTTGTAAAATGAGCATATTTATACATAGTAGAGTTTTATTTTAAAACAGAAAAAAATTGAAGAATGGAATGTATACTTATAAAAGCAAAGAAAGAAAATAAACTATCATTTTTTAGATTGAATTACTCTCGTTAAACGAATGACTGATAAACATTAGCTAAGATCAAATTTCATATAAGAATTAAATATTGAAACAAGATCCTTGTAATTGTAATGAATAAACAAAATGTGAATGTTTTTTTGTTAAAATAATTTCAATAGGAAACTATAAGAATGAATAAATTATCGATTTAAATGTATTGAGACTATAGAGTGTGGGTGTGGGTATTTGTTTAACTCTTAACTCACCCATACACTCCACACCCACATGCTTCTTTTTTTCACTAGTTAACTGTTTCCAGTCAGAGTGCGAAATCGAATCGAATCAAAGTTTTTTTTGTCATATTGGGTTGATAGTGCATTCTTTATTCCTAATACAGCACTTATATTAAGGGCTCTCATATTCAGCTGATAGTCACTTACTTATTTATTGTATAGCATTATGATCGAACGCTGTTTCATTAACAACGATGATCTCTGACAAAGAACATACCATCTTTTTCGTTTCTTTTTTCTTATTGTATTAAATAATCTTTATGAATATATCAATTGAATGAGAAAAGGTCAAAAGATCAAAAAGAGAAGTGTCTAAAAACTGTTGATATGGAAAATGGTCGAGAATGGTGTTAGGAAATTTTGAGTAATGCGGGACACGCATTTTAATATGAAATAATATCAATATTCTAACAAAAATTAAACATCAGTCAAAAAAAATGTAGTGTCAATTTTTTCGTTTAGCACTTGAAATCGATGATCAATGTAGGTGTTCCATAGGATTGATGGTAACTTCACAATATAGTGTCGTCAAGATAATTCATACAAATCTTTATGTTATTTTATATGAGTGAGTTTTGTCTTACTCTTAAGTCTGTATCAAACTGATTCTAGATATGGTAAATTATAGTTGAATCAAATTTACTGAAATTGAAGCAACTATAGTCATGACAATAGAATTTCAGTTCTGTAGTAGTATTTTGTGAGACTCTTAGTAAGTTCATATTACGTACTACTGATCACATGTTACTATACTGTTTGCAAATATAGAGAGAGCTGTAAGAAAAATAAAAATTGACTATAAGTACCTTCAATCACCATTCACTGTAAGCTTTCCTATTTTTAATAAATTATTACTTCAATATTTGTTAATCAACATTTTTCCTTTCCATGTTTTGAGGGCACACCTGCATTTTCGTAAATCATATAGTTACAGAGACGATCGATAGACAACTATCATTGTCTGCAAACAACATTGTAAAAAAAACGATAATATGTAAAAAAAACATATAGGGATGTGCGGTGTCAGTTACAAAAACCGAAAAAAACGACACTTTTGTCACCGACAGCGACGCTCAGTGCACACCGGTAGACTCAGTGTCACTGATCACTGAAATATCAAACAAACTGACACTGACGTCACTGGAACACCGATGACCAGTGCATCACGGATCACTGACGTACTGACATCCTCAGCGTCGCTGGTGAATCAGGCATACTGATTTCACTGATCTATCGTAATTAGTTGCTACATGATATTGCAAGATATATGCTTGAAATCAACAACGTTCTTAGATGAAACGGATGATGATCGGTTAGTACAAATTTTTCTCAATATGCAATAGTGAATAATGACTGATGGTATTTCCCGGTGTCTGCATTATAAGCGTTATCTGAATTAAGTCGAGAACACAAGTAGCTAGTGTTCTCGACTTATTCAATTTTTAACCGAGTACCTCTAAATCCTGTGCTGACATTAGTTTCCTTCTGTTATATTCATCTACCTTTTTAATATATGATCTTTTTCAAAATCTTGTTTATCTTAGATATTCAACGGTTACTAATTCAACAACAATCTCATCACGATATCATGGTAGAGATCGACCTCATGGCAGAAAACATCGAATTACCATCAGGACTTGATCGAGTACTATTCTCTATTCGTTTCTTCTAATTTTTTTATTTAATACATTCAGGTATCATCATTCAGACATCTAAATTCAGACTCAGCAATGACATTAAATATTATCACGGTAACACTTAATTTAGGTATGTATTTGTTTTATCATTCATTGCGTAAACTAACAGAATGTTTTTATCAGACGCAGTTAAGTTTTTGGGTGTTACTATTGTTAGTCAAAGCGATGAAACAGGTTCAAGTGATGGAGGAATTTATGTTAATTCCATAATGAAAGGGTAAAACTCTATGAAACTAAAAGTACATAGAATAAATCTTGGTGCTTCAGAGGTGCAGTTGCACTAGATGGTCGTATTGAACCAGGCGATGTGATTCTTCAAGTAAATGATATTAGTTTTGAAGGACTATCAAATGATGATGCTACTAAAGTTCTACGTGAAGCTGTCAAAAAGCTTGGGTATATCTAATTAACTAGTCTTCAATATTCTCTAATCTGTTTTTCTTTTTCAAATAGACTAATTACATTCTTTGTAGTTAAATGTCGGGATCCAACTCTACGAGGTTATTTTACATTACCTCATCATGAACAAGTACGTCTTGTTGATCCATTATCATGGCCTGCACATACACAAGCTGTACAAAATGCATATAATAATCCTCAACAACAAATCTTACTTCATCATCGACAATTGTTACTTAATCCAACAACAAATATGAGTTCAACCTTATCAAGTACAAATAATATAATGGCTGATAATGAATGTATGTCGTTTGATTTTGTAAAGAAAAAGAATTTTTCTGTATGTGTTTATTTTAGGTTTTGGTCTTGATTTTAATTTAATAATTAATTCTGATATGGATGGTATTGTACGAGCTATGGCTGAACCTGATTGAGGTTTAGATATACATGATAGAATATGGCTTAAAATGCCAATACCAGAATCATTTCTTGGTATGAAAGAAAAAAAAATTATGTTTAAAAATAATTAATTTTTATGAATATTATTTTAGGTTCTGATTTAGTTAATTGGTTATTTTAAAATGTCGATGGATTTTTTAATCGAAGTGATGCAAGAAACTCTGCCTCATCTATGCTTAAAGCAGGTTATATTAGACATACGGTTTATAAATTAACATTTTCTGAACACTGTTATTATATTTTTGGCGATAATTATTCACAAGGTAGGTAAAATCTTTTCTTTTCGGAAGGTTTTATTTATTTTTAATTTTTATTTACCCAGGTTGAACAAGCACGGTCGTAAACGATCGTATACGGAGAAATGTGGCAAAATACATGGTCCAGTATTACGATCGTATATCTTCGCGTCGTTTACGGAGAAAAAAACGGTTGTTTACGGTCCTCGTATACAGAGTCCGTATACGATCGTATATGTCGTTATACGGTCACGGTGATATACGACCGTAAACGGTCGTATAGGGAGCATATACGGTCGTTTACAGTCGTACGCGAAGTCTGTAATCGTCGACCTGGGTAGGTATTTCTCAATTAACATTTGATGAAGAATCTGATGATTATGAATCTGTTTTTGATCAAACAAGTACTACTAATCGTCGTAGTGGTGATTCATCATTAACAACAAGACAACATACTGTTACAAATGTTGGTTTTATTGATAAAAATAATGCTCCACTTCAATCACCTTCGCAATCTTTATTAATTGATACTCATAATTCAGGTGAGATTAAAATTAAAAAATAAATAAAATAATTCTCCATTAGAAATTCAACTCTTATTTGCATGAGTGAACTTTTTATGTCTCTAGTTATATTTATGAAAAATTCTCATTGTCAACATCTTTCATGTATCAATTCATCGGTTATATGCAGTAGAAATGATGATAAGCGATTATGCAGAAATTGCATGATTAGCTTGATGTTTGTTTTGAACTATCACTAGGATCAAGAATGCACTTTCATATAGATTAATGCTGATCGATCATGGATTTACTGTTTCAAAGAGATGAGATATTGACATCAAATGTTAAAGTACTCGGCACTGGTTACATCTATAAGTGCAGTCAGCTGTGAGGCTACCAGGATTTATTTATTCATAGTATATAATCCATTTTAACTGTACTAAAAGACAGTCATAGTTCAAAAGAGTTAGCCCTCATCCACAGCTGATACATCTTCCTGAGCATCTTTCATGTCCTTACCTTCCGCTAGGTGCCTATCCCGAGCCTAATTCCTTCTGTCTTATAATAAAATATATAGCGAAATTTTATAGAAAAATCCTAAAAAATAAATCCCGGAAGTTGCTAAGTCTGTTACGATGCTACTAGGGAGAAAATAATCGGAATAATGATAGAAACAAGTTCTAACTAGGAATGGCACTTTCACTTTCTTTTTGCTTTCCGAAACGAAAGAGAAGGAAAGTTAGAATATTTTAATATTCGATTGTTTGCAGAATTTGTATTACCAATTGCAAACAGAATAGAAAAATCATTTGTATGACGTTAATTTCAATATCTCTTTGTTTCTCCTCTTTTCTTATTCTATCGTATTGAGAGAAAAAATTGACCGTTCTCTAAGGTCAAATTCCGTTTCATTTCCCCACAGCTGTTTATGAGAAAAACGGCATGTATAGATATTTACAAACCTTTTAACACTCAACAGCTATCTGATTTAATAATTTTCCTTCACTTTCTTTTCGGAAAGGAAAGTAATGAAAGTCAAAAAAAACTCTCCTCAGGAAAGGAAAGGAGAAGATCAATTTAAAGAAAATCCAGCTATTCCAACTGGTCTTAATTTAGTTGCTGAAAATTATCAATATACACATATGCTTACATTAAATGGTTCATGTACATCTGAATCAATACTTGATACGATTCATATTTAATAAAATATTTTGTTTATCCTTCTTCTTTTTGTTTAGATGCGTTTGAATATAATGAATATTATGAACAAAATGAAAAAAAATATAAAGTTATTCGAGAAAGAATTCTTGATGAAAATGAATCAAATTCATTCCCATGTTGCGAAAACCGTATCAGTTTTAGCGGTAAACCGCGGTATTTCTCAAAAGTGCCGGTTTTAAATGATACCGCGGTTCTTTACAAATTTCACTGGTCAGTCGCGGTTTACCGCTAGTTTTTCCGGTGAAGAAAAGACGACGAGTGGGCACAGAACAAAAAAAAAACATGTATGTATACATGTACTCGCCGATCTGTCCCTCATTTTGCCGGTTTGCGTGATTAAATAAAATAATCACGACAAGAATAAGAGACGTAGTATAGATTTAATCATTTTTATACATAATTTTTTCATAATTATTTCGTTTCTAAAAGATTAATTTTTTACTATTTATTTCTTTTTTATTAATATCTTAATATTGACTTCTCTTTTAGATTATTTTTTTTGATTTAATTTTCAGGTGATTATTTTAAATTCAATTTATAGTTTTTTTTAAACATTTTTAGATTAAGTTTTGTATGTTATTTTTTCAGATTAATTTTTTATATTAAATTTTTACACTTTTTTTAACACTTATTTTTTAGATTCATTTTTTATATTTTATTTTTAATGTAGTTTTTTTACATTTGATTTTTTAGATAATTTTTTTAAAATGTTAAATAAATTTTTTTGCAAGAATTATGTTTGCGTTTATTTTCTAATATAAATTTTTCGTTTTTTGCTATGTACAATTTTTTGTTTGCTTGCAGTTTTTTTTTGAAATAAACTAGTTTAATTCAAAGATGATTGTTAAATTTAAAACAAATACTGGTGAGACCAAGGCTCGAAAAGTGCCGGTAAACTGCGGTTCACCGGATAAAACAGCGGTTTACCGAACGAAACCGCCGGTTTACTGCGGTTTTGGAAGCCGGTAACCGGACCGGTAAAACCGCCAGTTTTTGTCCGGTTTTCGTCACATGGGTTAGATAGTGATGATGAAGGTAATCGAAAAAAAGATAATGTTAATGAAGAAGAAAGTAAGTCAAATTAGTCATTTGTAAGATTAAATTAAAATATTTTCTTTAGAAGAAAAACAACAACAAACAATTATTGATGAAACACAAACAAATTTAGCAATGTTACGTGAAGAAATGTACTCAATAGTTCAGACAAATATTACTCCTGAACAATGTGCATATAAATGACTTCGAATGAGTTTGCGTCGTGAACAAAAATTATGTTTCTGAAATATTGAATTGATTTTTGTATAATTTAAATTTTAGATGGAATTATGTCAAATGATTCTTGATATTTGTGTTCAACAACCAACACATGAAAGGTTTTTTGGTTTAGTTAGTCAAACTTGTGTTTATTAAAAATAGAATATGTTGAATATTTTGAAAAACTTTTTCAAGATCAATATAAAATTGTTCATAGTCTTGAAAATATGAAATTAACAAATATTGCTAATTTTTTTGCATGTTTACTTACTGCTAATGCTATTTCATGAGATGTATGTATTCATTCTTAATATCAAATGATATTTATTCTTCTCTTTCTAGGTACTTGGTTGTATTCATTTAACTCAAGAAGATACAACATCACCATCACGTGTCTATATTAAAAATTTATTTATGGCAGTAATGCAATTTCTTAGTTAAGCAAAATTGAATATCTTCAAAAAGAATTTACAATTTGTACAGAAATTGATGATAAACCATTTTCTATATTTTCTTAATATTTCCTTATATTCATCATGTAAAGAATAACTCAATAAAAAATCATAGAAGAATAGCAAACGATATTTATTCTAATCAACTTGACTTTTCTTGAATCTCTGCAATTGATCAATAATCAATAACGAAAGAAATCTGAAAGATAGCGTTCGTTTTCGTCATTTCTTCTCACTTCTAGCATTTCTCTTCTATTCTATTATTGGTTCTTTGACTTTTGTTTTTGGTAGAACAAAAAAAAACTAAATAATACATACAAAAAAAGAAATAAAGACGAAAGGAAGGAAAGAAAAGTCTTCTTGAAAAAAGAGTTTTTCTTGATTATTTATTTCGTTTATATCTATTTAGAAGATGAGCATTGAGTCTAATAAAAAAATGATTATTCTATCATCCTATTTTTGACCTAGAAAATCGTTCGAGAATTGTTTTTTTCTTCTTTAGATCAATGCTTGAACTTGCTCAAAGTTTAATATTACATGAAGAAGCACTTAATAGTTTACCAAAAAATAAACGACCTTTATTCATTTATGAATGACTTTGTTTTTTAAATAAAGTACTTGTTTCTGTTCAAAAGATAAAAGAAAAAAAAATTCGATGAACATATTTGAAATTCTTTTCAGTCTTAAGAATCATATTTCTGAATGTCAACCACGTATTATTGAATAACTTTTGCAATAAGTTCAATATGGACTTCGTCCACCAATACGACCATGAATTGGTCAAAATTGAGCAACATTATTTAGTGTCAGAAATCCATTTCGATTATTTAATACAATTAATCGATGTAATGATATCTTAAAATCCAAGGATGAAGTGACAAAATTGTAAGTTTTCATGTGCATTTCGATTTAATATTCGATTTGAATTGTTTGGATAGAGTGACTATTGTGGTTATTTGTGCATTTTATAAACGTCTTGGTCGATTAGTTGGCCGATCATATGAAGAAACTGTTCAACTGTTACTTAAAACATTATAGAAATGCTTGATTCTCAAATGTGTTTTGAAATAATGTTTACATTTGAAAGTATTATTAATATTTTTTTTGTAGATATTTGTTGTATTTTCGATAATACGTGATCGCCATGGCTTCTCATGGTAATGAAATAATGAATATGTCAATGCAAGAAATGAAATTAGATGCTTTTGATGCTATTCTTCGTGGTGACTGTGATGATGCTGTTGGGGTAATAGATTTTTCTACCTATTGCCAAAAAGTATTCGAATTATCCTCTTATCCATGATTTTAGATATATACAAGAATGATTTCAATTGCTGGCAATGTAGAAAATGATGAACTGTCTTCATTATTCTCAGATCGTGCAGCTTGTCGTCTTTTAGCAAAACAATTTCAACGTAATTTATTAATAGTTTTATCTTCTCTCTCAAAATTTGGTTTGATATTTAGTTGGTTTGGAAGATTGTGATCGAGCAATATCAATTAATGAAAGAAATATAGATGGTTATGTACAAAAATGGTGAGTTATATAACAATCTTAGGTAGAATAATCCATATAAAAAGTAACGGCTAAAACTCAAATAAAAATTGATTGTGTGTGATTGAAAATCAATAACAATAGCACTATTTGAATTTGATTGAATGTTTTTCAGTTCTAGCGACAGTTTCTATTCAATTGTAATTAGTTTTTATCTGACGACTTTTAGCTCTTTTGATGTATGAGTATTGATTATGTAGGACTAACGATTATCGAATAAAAACGATGTAATGAGATGTGAGAAAAGTTAGCAATCAATTTAAATTTTTCTAAAACGATTCTTCTCATGAAGTATGCCACTTATGACATTCAGTGAGGCAGATGCAATTTAGATAGCTCTATCGAATGGTACATGTTTTATCATGATAATTTCAAGCACAAAATTGTAGATCTAATAGATTTCTTACATCCGAATGAAGAAATAGCCTTCCATGACAATTCGTTTTGCTACGTGTCCTACTCTTCAAACGTAACTAATTGAATATTGCTTAATGGGATTTATCGATGAATTTATATTTGATGATGATAAATGGAGCTAGAAAATACTCTTGTAAAAGAAAAATTGATGGTTGTTTTGCCATTTGTCATAGTTGGTTTTGATAAAAAGTATAATTATATTTGATAAAGCTTGACTAGCTGTACCTACTTTACTAAGTGTCTCAAATGATTCACTCAATGAGACGAATCTGGGTAGAAAACAGCGTGCTTCAAACGAAATCTAAAGATTTTAAAAGACTTCTCTGGAACTTCTGTTGACTTCAAGAGACTTTCACGCCTCCATAACATTTCATGAGATTCATGGAACTTGATAAAAGTTCATGGGACTTCAACATAATATCTTATGGAAAAAGTAATGTGACAAATGTCAACTCTTATGTATTTTCAATAGAAGGATGCTGAAAGAAAATTTTTTCACCACAAGATGAAGTATTTTTTCTTCTTTCGAATCATATAAATCTTATTCTCATCATCTGCTTATGAACGAAATTACATTACAAAAAAGAAAAGTACACTCAAAAAAAAATTCGCACTGTTCCTATAGTCCATAAGAAAATTTCTTGCTTTCGAAAGGTATATTATGTATATTAGTCATTCATTCGTACATCAAATAAGGCGTCAAGAAAAGAAACACTTGTGCAATTAATTAGCGATTTTTATATGAACTTGCCAAAAAAAGTTTACAACGGCAGCTGATTTTATATTGTTTTAGCAAAATACTTGTCGAACTAAAACAATTCAAAGAAGCACGAGAAGCAATTGAACGTGGAAAATTAGTACTAGGTAAGTCATATACAGCACGAGATAATTATTCATTCACATGTTAATTTAGGTGAACAAGAATCATTCAAGAACTGTGAATGTTTGATTGATCAATCTTGGCTCACTTTAGGTACGTAAATGCCTAAATATTCCAGATACGTTCAGATTGTAGCGAAAAACAGAATTTTCTTCATTTTTTGACACTATCATTAGATATAAGTGATTCTTGTATCTATTGTACTGTGTGGTGTGGGTGTGGGTGTGGGTGAAGAAAATATGACACCCACACCCACCCACACTCACACGCACCCACAGCACACTCACACCCACCCACACTCACACGCACCCACAGCACACCCACACCCACCCACACCCACATCCACCCACAGCACACCCACACCCCGGATAAGCCACATTGCCTGCTTTTGTTTTTATAACGCGAAAAGGTTTGTCTGACTAATATTGAGATTTTGGAATTTCGTATAGGCTATCAGTCGTTTGCCACATTTAGAAGCATTCAGATTCATACCAAGAAGCAATTTTATTACCAAACAGGACCATTGGACTTCTTTCTTCGACAATTACGTGGTGACCATGGGAGCCTCTCGAAAACAACCGGTGTGGCTGAACGGTTAAGACGCTTGACTCATACTCACAAAATACTGGCTTCGAATCTCGTCTCCATCAGTCATAAAATGACCTTCAACAAGTCACTAACGGCTGTTTTGTCTCGGACTACCCATCCGATAACAAACTGACTACGTGGTTGACATATACTAAAAGACCTTGTGGCTAGTTTATGATTACTCAGTAGGTATGCGCAGCTTAAGTGATTAAGCGGAAAAATTCTGAGTCAGGTCAGCTCGCTGTCCAGAGCTACATGTAGTAAAAGATGTAGGAAAAATATCGGGCTCTCGAAACTGCTCTCGAAGAGCACTCTTTAACACAAAGTAGCCGAAAGACGGGGTATCCCTTTTCTTCTCTTGGCAGCTTTTTATTTTTGATTCTGCTACAACGTATAGTCATCAAGAGAAGATCTTTTAAAAGGGTGTAGGTGCGTGTGGCTGCAGGTGTGAGTGCCACCAGAGAGGGGACCCACACCCACACCCTTTTGACATCGTCTCTCGGATATTCAAGTATTAGCGCAAGAATTCTTCGCTAATCTGGACGTCAATACCAGTCGAAAATATGTTGAACACGTGCACAAAGTGAAAGAAGTTTTCCGTGTGGCGGATGCCATAGTGAAAAAGGAAATAGAATCGAATCTCCTCGGCTCAGACTCTGTCGATGATCATGACATTGACGAGAATACACACGACGAATATGACAATGATGTTTGACTACTCGATCTTCTTCTTCTTTACTTCTTTTCGCTTAATCATGTGACGCTAGTTAAAAACCATTAGACGAGATTTTTACAAATGTTCATTCATAGTGTCTACTAAAGACTTTCATAATACAAGAAAAATCACAAAATTTATTGTACTTATCATTGATGAATTCATTGCTAAGATCGTAAAGAAACGAGATAATGGTTACTGGACTGGAGTAGACGTTAGTAAGCGATAAGCAAAATCTGAAAGTTCTTTAAGTCTGATAACCAATGGTGCTATCAAATTCAGCAGAATTGGAAATCTATATTATCTTGTGAAATTCGCCTAAACATGATTTTCTTGACCTCATCGCAAAAGTATCCATTCTCCACAGAAACGTTGAAACAATTTGAAAATGTTATGGTAAATGGAGGATCTCTGGGGCTACAATCTGGTATAATTTGATCATAGTTTGTCATGAGAACTGCGGGGATACGACATCAGAAAAAATGTTAGCTTGTGGTAGACCATGAAAAAAGCTTTTTGTTCCAATGAATCTTATACAGATAGACGTCCCTCGGATTATTCTAGCAGATGCGGAAAACCCGAACTCTATAGATATCAGCGTTCACAAGTTGTTCAGGAAACAGTGGAGGCTATTTTTTTAAAAATCCGATAATACATCTCGTCGGAATTCTTTACTAATAGAATCTTAATCAAACAAGAAATTTCAGCTTGTCCTATCTTTTCACGCAAAATCGATTCAAAAAGTTTGTAGTCATTGTCTTGAAGCAAACTCTATGGATGCTAGTTCCATAAAACTTGTTACTTTGATTTGAGTTAAGTATATCGAAAATTGATTTCAACTACCTGACAACATTGCTGTAGATAATGGTGCACAAAAAAGTGCTCTTCTAACTTATTTATTACTACATCGAGACAAAAATATCAATAAAATAGACAACTTGAATATACGACAAAAAAATACACAGATGCAAGTACATAAGCGCTGCTCGATTAAAAATAAACATTGAAACAGAGATTCATTAATTTCAATGTCACATAGCATTTGACCCTCTGCGAACTGCAGCTTAAATTTCCGGCAGCAAAATTCGGCGAAATTCGATGACTCTTCCAATCTCCTGACGATACTGCATTTGTTTTGAAAAGAAAAACACAGTCAAAATCTGTACAAATTAATTATTGTCATTAGTTTATTGTATTTTTAAATAGTCTGCATATGTATTTTATTTACTTTCTTAGATGTCATGGAAATGAATTAGTGATTATAATGTATCCCTAGGAAAAAAAATGCGAAGTCTAAATATGTTTGACAGTTCATTTAGTTCACTATTACGATCGTATATGTCCGTAACCTTATATACAACAAAAAGAATCATATATAGACAAATATGAAGAAAAACAAATTAATATAACTGGAAGACTGAAAGTTTTGAGACAAAAATATTTGTTGAGTTTTGACTTCCTTGAAATTGTTTCCGATCAGTTAAAAGTTATGGAATAGGACCACCGTATTGTGCCCTTTTTGTACATGCTCTTATAAATTTTATCTCAATTTTTTTGTTCGAGAGTAATGAGGTATTTTTTGGAAAATCTGAAGAATGATTTTGGATGATCAGTCTGAGGTGACGTTTCTAGTGCAAATGGTTGCTCAGTTCGCACTACTTGCAAATATCTCAGGCATGCTCGAAACTATAAAGAATGATCGAAATTTTCTTCTCTCTTTGAATATAGGATTAGAAATATGTTGTTTATCTTTGTTCAAGACTAGTGAATGAATTTTTTAAAAGCCCAAAAGAATTAAATTAAATAGTGAATCAATAGGCTTTTGCTCATCACTATAAGTTCCCTTTCGAAGGTACCAAAAATTATTGAAGTCAATTACTTTATAGAGCGAACGCTTCCTTTCATAATTTTATATTCAACTATACTGTGACTTTTACCGAAGTTAAATAATAGGCGTTGTCATGAGCTTCCCTTTCTATATAAAACACCTTTTGGTCAAAAAGTCGATTTATCAAAAATTGCGATTTAAGAGAAACAAAACTTGAAGTAACCTATAGAAAGATAAAAAAAAACCAATAGTATAGTTTGTAGGATATCTTTTAATCTACAAGTTGATATATTAATCAAGGTTTCAACGTTTACTTCCGAGTCACAATAGTGGAAATACAAAAGTGCGCGGAAAAATTTTCAATCCAAACTGTTTTTTTGGGCCTTTTAGAAAATCATCTCATTGGTCTCAAGAAAGTTCCTTAGCCAAAGTGTTGGTCATCATCTGTAGTTCTAGACATATTGGAAATCTTTTCAAGGTAGTTAAAAATAAACAAATGTTCTGTCTCAAAACTCTCGGTCTATCCTTTCTACGACTCTCTTTTTGAAGATAGTAAGG